ATGATATTCTTTCATAGCATCGCTGAATACTATCGTTAGATCGTTGCAACGTGTGCGATATTGATACCGTATATCATCAGTCATCGAATCTTTGTGATATTCTCATAACGTTTCTATACGGGCCGGGAAACATGTAGCTAATACTATAGCAAATAGTAGACAATTTTGCTTTGCAGTACAGTTCAATGCTGCTTCAGCAAGCATACATTCCCACTGGTTGTCGTCTTCCAGCAAGCCGAGTGCAAAGCATGCATATTTATATACTTTGGATGCTGATTTCCATCGACTTTACGTATATCTTGAAATGACAATGAGCCGGTGTAATTAACCAACAACAGTCGAAAATAAAAGCACTCAGTCTGCCTTGGATTGACTGTAAATATTTCCCCCAAGGCGTTTGATTTGAATAAATCGGGACATGCATCATCCGGTGTGCCTTGCTTGTGGGGTGTCCATTTTTTGAACCCATGTGAAATAGGGTGGTACTTCTGAGTAGAGTAATGTCCGTGCAAAGACGCCAAAAGCATCCGTACGATTACCCAATTCAAAAAATTTGGTGAGTGTAGTTTTTGGTGGATTTATAGCTCGGTCAATCGCTGTCTCGTTCGTGAAAAATACGCTCTGACCGTTTTCAAGATGGACGGTTAAATGAATAACGGTTGGATCCCGCTCATTAATTGGGAAACCAAAGATACACCAAACAGCTTCATTGGAGCTGATGTACCGGCCTATTTGGTACAGCGTTATTTCGTCGTTGTTATTCACTGGAAGAGCAGTCACATTGGTATTTTCAACTCGAAATACTTCTATATCATTGCCTTTATTCACATACTTGCAAATATATTTGATGCTCTTCTTTTAAGGGCATGCATAAGTATTAGAGTTTAATATGACTTGTTGCAACGTGCGTGAATATTATTTTTGATTTATTATGTTTCTATGTCTAGTTTGGATCCGAATACGATTAAATAAAGATATATTTAAAATATATTGTAAATCTGTCCAAAAAATGAAAAAAAAATAGATATAAACCATT